AAAAAAAAAAGAGAGTCGCAGCATTTCAGGCGCTTATTGAAAATTAGCTTAAGGCAGGATGCAGTCGTGGGCGCTGTGTAGACATGGGAAGAGAGGCTACAAATGTTAAAGGAAAATGATGCCAGGCTGTCTACACCAAATACACACATTAAGTGCTGGCTGAACCCCTGAACCAGGTACCATGTGGTTGCAGAAAAGGCCAGGATATTTAGAAACAGGCAGGGAAAATGTGATGCATGGCTGCTGCTGAGGCAGAGAGAGCTGGGGTGACCGAGGAAGGGAACGCAGCACAGGCGTGCTGGGGGTGCAGACTGGGCTCAGCAGGTGGGTGGAGACAGAAAGGACCAGGGCAAGCAAAAGCACAGAGACAGGGTGGTGCATAGTCTGGTTGGAAATATGAAGCTTAAGGAAGGGCCTGGAAGACCAAACCAAGAGAAGACATTCCGGGATGGGTAGGTCAACCTCTATGTCTGGTTAAGGACAGATGTTTTAGCTCATGTGAGTACATGACTTGACTCAGCTCCGAGTACATGACTTGACTCAGCTCCTGGTTAGAGCATGGGGTCCCCCTTGCTCAACTGCTGCTGAGCTGAGGAGGACTCCAGAAGGACCTACCAAATCACACGTCATATGAACACAGGCACCTGAATCACTGTCCCCTGCGAGTCCTGCTCTGAAAGCTGCAGACTCCTTAAGTCAATCCCAACTGTGGAGGCTACTGCCATCAGCAAGCAACCTAAGACAGGTCTTGCTAGGGAGCTGTGCTAAGCCCTCCTGGAATCTAACTGCCTTCTGCCTCTTCACTGCCCCTACCTCGCCCGCTATTCACTCCTGTTTGGTGTGATTCCTTCTCTACACAGTATCAGGAGTGGGCTTTCCAAAGAGTTGCTCTTTCTCCCACTTAAAACCTATCAATCTCTGCAGAGGTTTTAAGATAAAGTCTAGAACTTAGCCCAGCCCTGAAGGCCCTTCATAATCTGTGCCCTACCTCGCTGTCAGCTTCAACTCAAGACTCTCTTTTCCTTTTGTGCTCGGTTCCAGCCACACCTTCAGGTCTTCCTGTGTGTGACCCCTCTGCATGGAATTCCCCCTCCTGTCCCCCACCTCCAGCCCTTTTCACCTCCTCACCCTTCAAGTCCCAGACCAGGCTGAGGCCACCCAATACATAATTTCGCAACACCCTGCACTCTTGCTTTGTAACATTCACCGCAACTGTAATTTCTTAGTTATCTGTGTAAGCATCACAGTAATGCCTGCTTTCCTGCTAAACTCTAAGGTCTGAAGGCAGAAAAGGGCTTCTCTTTTTCCCCCATTGCACCACCAGCCCTGAGCGCAGTGCCTGACACAATATTCTTGAATTAGTGACTCAAACAGAAACCTAATATTCAGACCAAATAACGTAAACAAAGAGTGGGGAGCTCAGAGCTCTGATCCCTCCTCAGTGGCCCCTGAGATACCTCATAGAAACTGTGATCTCAGCCAGACTTAGTGACTCCTGCCTGTAGTCTTAGCTGCTCAGGAGGCTGAGGTGGGAGGACCACTCGAGACCAGCATGGATCTGTTTAAAACCCCTTCCTTTCAGAGAAGACGCTGAAGCACAGAGAGGCTAGGAGATGGTGCAAGGTACATGAGCAGAGCCCTCCGGACATCAGAGAAGATGACCACATCCCTCCACAGGGCATCTGGTGGCAAAAAATGCTGACTCGACCAGGTTATGGGTGTGACCTATGCATCTCCAAAATATTCAGAGAGCAGGTGGGACTCAGGTGCTGGGAGTAAGGTGGGAGAGGAGCCCCACAAATGCAGAAGCAGGGAGGAGCCGACAGGCAAACAGGCAAAGCCCACTTCTTACCAGGTACTGCAGGGTCCCCACGAATGACGTGCAAAGACTGCCCTGATCCAGCTCCTTGGCATATCCTAGGTCAATAATTTTGTGTATTAACTAAAACAAAAGGAAGGAGAAATCTGAGGGTTACAAGAACACAATGTCCTTCTACAAGGAATCTGACTGCCTGGTATTAGAACAGAGGTATTTCTGAATTCCCGGGTACTATTAGATCCCAAACTCCCAAGGAGCTGCCAGATACACAAAAGAATGTCCTCGACATGGTAGATTCAGGGCAAAAGAAGAGGCATATTGTAAAAATGCTAGGCACATGTCCTCCCACACTCTGCCACGCATCATCAGAGGGAAGCTGAATGAACAGAACAGGCACCAGCCCTCAAGATGGCTAAACCCAGACTTGAAACAGGAAGGACCGCGCCAGCCTCTTCTCAGTAAATACCCTCAGTTCTCAAATCTGAGCACCACTGACAGGAGTGAGTGCGAACTAGAACAAGGGCGAGCCCTGTGGTAGTCACAGACCAGGCCTAGGTGCTGAGGGCAGCTGTATGGGAAGGGATTGGGTGATCTAAGAACTCAGTCACGGCATTCCACTCAGCTGAGCCTGTGCTCACCACCCCAGCTGAACACATAGAGTGGGTAAAAACCACAATGTCAAGCTCGAGGGGGAGTCAACACCATGTCCGAGCCAGGTAGCCACTGAGGAGGCCACAAAGAGCTCTGGGGAAACTATAGGCTGGACCAGGCTCGGCAGCAGACGCCAATCCCAGTGCCTCTTCCCAGCCACATACACAACCAACTGATCACTGGTTTCCATATAGCATTGAGAGGCGAGGCTCTTAAGGAAGATGGAAAACAAGAAGTCGATTTCCAAGAAGCGCTAGTCCCAGAGGCTAGGGGTGGAGGTAGGAAGGCAAACATTATTTTCCTTATCAGATTCCTGCAACTTGAGCAACTAACAATGTAATCCATTCAAACCTGCCTCAATCTGCAACAACTTTTTTGCTGAATTTTGTTTCAAATCAAACAGCATTCCCAGAGAATCAAAGCACAGGCAAGGAAATGCAAATACACACAAATATGCAGAGTGTGCTCCTTTCCTCCCAGGCCACTTCCCGGCGCGCCCACCTGAGGCTTTCCAAGTCCCAGGAGCGTCACTTACCCTCTGTTCTCCTTGCTGCAGGACGATGTTTTCTGGCTTTAGATCCCGATGGATGATTCTGTTTTCATGAAGGTATCTAAGTGCAGAGGCTGAGGAAGGCGGGATGAGGAGTGAGTTTTTCTTAAGCCTAAAAAATGCTTTTCAGGACAGAATCGCCTCTCCTGCAAAAGATAAATGCTGCGTGCCCCTGAAACATACTCTGACTTGTAGCGCAACACCTCACGGTGGAGGGCAGGGGCCCTGCTATATGAGGCTTAACATCGGAATCTGGCTTACTTGAGCAAAGCACTCTTTGCCTTGCATCCATGAGGTCACCAACTGCAGCCTAGAGCAGTGCTTCTCAAACTATACTACCTGGACCAGCAGCAAACACGCTTGTTCAAAATGTGAAATTCTCGGGCCCCACCTGAGACCTCTGGATTCGAGTCTCAGGGGATGACCCCACCATCTGTGTTAACAAACTCTCCAGGTGATGCTGATGCCAATAAAGTTTTGAGAAGGGAAGCGTCTTTGGTCTAGGGGCTCAAAAATCTAAATTCTATAGGGTAGGCAAGGAGGAAGGGCCCTTGGGGACAGAATCCTATGGTCATATGATTGACAGTCCCAAAAGGTCAGAACCGGCTTCCAGGAACAGCAGGGAGGCAGAAGAGAACAGGGACACCTCCCACACCTACAGACAGCCCAACACAGATTTACTATGTGCCCAGTTCTCTGGGAGGTTCTATGAAGGATATAAAATAAGGCGCGTGATCCCCAACTTTAAAGAGCTCAGAATCTAGTTGGAAGAAAGCAGACTGCACAACACTGGCTACGGAGGCATTTGATACCAAGAGCTTCTGCTGTGAGGAGGCAACATGATGATGTCACACAAGGAAGGAACAGCCTGCAGCTCAGACGGCAAGAAGGACATGATTTTACCCTCAAGAGAGGGTGAATAACTTTGACAGACACCCTAGCTCACTGCACTATAAAAGAAAGAAATGAAATAAATAGTATTGAAATGAGATAAAATTATTTTTATTTGGAGATGCTATGACTGTAGCCTAGAGAGCTCAACAGACTAAACACCAGAAAAAATTTAGCCAGTTGTCTGGAAACCAACAAGTCAATAGCTTTTCTCTATGTTAGCTATATCCAGTTGCACTGGAAAAGAAAAAATATCCCATTCACATTAGCAACAAAAACTCTAAAACACCATGGGATACATGTAGCAAAAAGAGCAGTGTATGCAGGAAAGCCATATGGTATAAATAGAACAGTGCAAATAACATTAAAAGGTTTTCAAAGTTTATGTAAAAGATATTATAAGCAAAGCCAAAAGACAAGAGAGGTGGAGAAACAATATCCACAACGCATATCCCAAAGAGTAAAGATACCTAACAGATAAAAGCACTTACAAATCAGTAAGAGAGCAACTCAGAAGAAAAATGGGGCTGGGTGTGGTGGCTCATGCCTGTAATCCCAACACTTTGGGAGGCCAAGGCGAGCGAATCACCTGAGGTCAGGCATTCAAGACTAGCTTGGCCAACATGGTGAGACCCTGTATCTGATAAAAATACAAAAAAATTAGCTGGGTGGGGTAGTGGGCCCTTGTAATCCCAGCTACTCGGGAAGCTGAGGCAAGAGAATTGCTTGAACCCAGGAGGCAGAGGTTGCAGTGAGCCGAGATAATGGCCACTGCACTCCAGCCTGGGTGACAGAGTAAGACTCCATCTAAAAAAAAAAAAGAAAGAAAAATGGGCAAAGAACGTCAAGTGGTGAGAACGCACAGAAAAAGAGATACAAATGGTGACAATTATATGAAAAGTTGCTTCACTTCACTGGTAGCCCAAGGATACTTACTGCATATCTTGAATGAAATAATTAGAAACAAACAGAAAGTCATTAGGAAATGGTAGAACAAATTATGGTAGTGCCACGTTAGAACAGGCAACTCTTGGGTTTGTATTTTCTGACTCAGAGGGCTAGTTAATGGTATGATCTGTTTCTTGTTTAAAACTTAAAAAGTCAAAACCACTAACACTGAGAGGTTTAACGATGAGCCGCTATGCCGCCGCTGCCACCACCATTCTCCCTCTCTCTGTCTCTCTGTCTCTAAGGGCAAACCGGGAAGGGGAAGACCCCTGAGGCCCGGGCAGCGATCCTGTCTGCTGTCATGGGCATGGGCCTCTGTGCAGGGCAGCGGAAAAGCCTTCCACAGAAACTGAATGAGCAAACACGCTCTGCACACGCTCTAAGCTGAACATTTCCTGAAAACATATTGAAGAGTCAAACTGAGAGCTGAACAACTGACTTCCACCTTATTAACGGAGTTCCAGCTCAGAACATCAAGCTATATATGGTGAGTATCTCTTATCCAAAATGCTTGGGATTTTTCGGTTTTTCGTTGGGTTTTTTTTTTTTTTTTTTTTTTTTGACAGAATCTTTTTTTTTTTTTTTTTGATTTTGGAATACTGGCATATTCCTAATGAACCCAAGCTTAAACACAAAATTCATTTGTTTCATATATACCTTATATGAAACAACTGAATTTTTATAAATGATTTTATAGTCTGATGGTAATTTTATACAACAGTTTTAATAATTTTGTGCATGGAACAAAGTTTGTGTTAAGTACTTAAGTGTGGAACTTTCCACTTTTGGCATCATGTCAGTGTTCAAAAACCTTCAGATTTTACAGCCCTTTAGATTTTGGACTTTGGGATTAGGGATGCTCAATCTGTGGTGCCAGATCTCTTCTTACATCTGCTCTTTTAAGTCCAGCCTTCGACCATGTGGTTCCAACATTTCATACTGTTCCTTATTTTTCATTTCCTTCCTAAGTGACAGAGTAGATTAGCTTAGGTCCAATTAATGTCCAGATGAGGTGAAAGACTCGCTGCTTTCCATGGGCCTAAAAAATTCTATTTCATCTTGTTCTCAATTGTGTTAATGTTTAAAGATCAATGCTTCTCATCAGCACTTCTATTTTTGTTTTACTAGTTTTTATTTAAAGTCAAAGCAAAGCATAATGAAGTAAATGAAGTATAAAAAATAGCTGCAGTAACACAGCCTTGAGACGGGGATGGCACTGCTGTTGAATATGAACTACTGGCTGGCAGAGAGCAAAGCCATGCGATAACTCAAAGTGTCTGTTAACTGATAGGTTCACAAAAGACCTGTGTTGGTATATGTCAGGCTGCTGAAGTGTATCAGGATGTAATACATAAAAGTGTAGGTTTGTTTTTTCCAAAGCAGAATGTATGGAAGTTAAGATATTGTAATTTGTGCAAGTACACAAGCCCAGACTAAGAGAAGGCCCCCAGAGCTGGAGGCATAACATCTCAGGGCAAAACCCAGGGCAGAGGCAGGTGAGATGTCCCCAGGACCCCCCAGTGTAAAGGAGAAGCATTCAGATCAGACCGAAGGCACCACTCTCTATGCCACACAGATTAGAGTTGTCACCAGATCTTCAGTGAGGAGGGGCAGGAGGTTGGTAACTGGATACTCTACTATTAATATCTGTCTATTTTTATGCTTAAACAACTGTACAAAACAAACTTTATTCCTCATTTCGGGGTTGTCATCTATTCTCAAATACCTCTGTCAACTTAATAAAGTCCAGATTTAAAGAGTCCAACAGGTATTGATACACAAAGTTTCTGGTACTGAAATGTAAAAATTCTGATAGGCAAGTCCTCTTAAATGTACCCTGCAGAGAATAAACTTTCAAAACACTTGGTTCAGTATCACTGTGCTACATTTTACAAAACAGTACTTCAGAGCTGAAGTGAAATGAATCAAAATTGTCTCAAGCCCAGAGAATCTAACTTTGTTTAAATTCAATGGAAAATGAGATATTGAGATAAAGAAAAATACTGTTGTATCTGGAAGTCTATTAAAAATCTAAATGCCTGGCAATAGCAATAAGACATGTTTATAAAAATTGAAAGCCACACCACAAAGCATAAAAGTGTACCAGGTTATTTCTCATGTTCCCATTACAGAGAAGAGCTGTGAGAAGCACCACACTGCAAACTGTTAAGCTGTTCACAACTACACAGTGGGGCCGGGCATGGTGGCTCACGCCTGTAATCCCAGCACTTTTGGAGGTTGAGGTAGGAGGATCCCTTGAGGCCAAGAGTTTGAGACCAGCCTGGGCAATATAGCAAGACCCTGTCTCTACAAAAAATTTTTTTCATTAGCTAGGCATGGTGATGCCCACCTTCATCCCAGCTACGTGGGAGGCTGAGGTGAGAGGGTCGGTCACTGGAGCCCAGGAGTTCAAGGCTGCAGTGAAACATGATCATGCCACTGCCCTCCAGCCTGGACAACAGAGCAATACCCTGCCTCTAGAAAAATCCAAAAACTAAAATAAATCACACAGTACAGTGTATGCAGGAAAAACACAAAAAGTAAGATGAATGACACAGCGCATTTCCACAGAGCGGGTCCACGTGGCAGACTTGCCATAGGAAGATAACAGCCTCCTTCTCTCGCCCTCTCAGGAGCTGTGCCCCAGTGGTCACCCCAGCCTTTCCCTGGCTCATGAGGAAGGCACAAACACACAACTGAAGAACATGACAATCCTGTGGGTCTTACTGATGAATCACAGCTCCAAATAACAGCCCTATGTATTTTTTTCAGATGACAAAGCACAAACTGGGGAACAGATAAGGGCAGTTAGACCTCCAAGGAAAAAGCAGTTTTATAAGAGTGGGTCCATGAATCTCTATTTATCACAAGTTTAGAGGGATGACTAAGTTCCCTTCAGAACATTTTTGTTAGAGCTACATTCTATAGAGAACAGGTGGAAAGATAAATGGTCCAAAAGGCTGAGATAGAGGTTAGAAGGGTCACTGGCTGGTAATCCAAGTCACCACTGAGTAAGAACGGCAACAGTATGTCCGTTCCCTCGGTAAAACCCCTGCCTGGGTCCTACTGTGCCAGCCACTTCAATGTCACTGGGCTTCCCAAACAAAACAGACTGGAAGGCCAGCTGTGGACCAGGGAGAGAGACTGAGTCTGGCTAATTAGGGTACTTGGCTAAAATAGCCTTTGATTAATCAGTGAGGCAGCAAGGCAGTAATGCTGGGTGCCCAGGAGAAAG